GTAGAGAATATGGAGCTAGGGGGAGAATGAGAGAAAATAGAAGTTTAACTCTGTGATAATACTTTTAAAATCGGTTGTTCAATAACCGATTTTAAAAGTCTACTTTTAAAATCGGTTATTCAAAAACCGATTTTAGAAGTTCTACTTTTAAAATCGGCTATTGGAAACCGATTTTAAAAGTGGACTTTTAAAATCGGTCTTCAATAACCGATTTTAAAAGTAGAACTTTTAAAATCGGTCTTCAAGAACCGATTTTAAAAATGGACTTTTAAAATCGGTTCTTCAAGAACTGATTTTAAAAGTTCTTCAAGAACCGATTTTAAAAGTAACGTCACAGACTTTTAAAATCGGTTATAACGTAACCGATTTTAAAAGTAATGCCATTATTTACGAAATTGCCACCACATCACTTTTAAAATCAGTTACCTTATAACCGATTTTAAAACCCCGATTTTAAAAGTCATTTTTATACTAGTGAGTTATAAATTAATTTTGGTTTAAACATTTTTTTTTCTCATAAAATGAGTGTATTTTAATTTTAGTCTCTATTTTTTATTTCTTTAAAATTTGAAATCGTTTCTAACCCTTAAAAAATAACAAATTTTGATTTTGATTCTTATCCAATATTTTTCTTTGACTTTCATCTCTTTAAAACTTAAATTCAAAAAAAAAATATTTTATAAAAATCAAAAAATTTAAAGTCGTTATTTTTGTCACTTGTGTTAATTTTAAGGTAGATAACAGTATATGATATAAAGATTTATTAAAAAAAATTTAAAAATATCACATACTAACACAATATCAAGTACAATTATGAATGTCAGGAGCAATGTCAAACACAAAAATAATTAATAATGATCGCATAATACTAAAGACTAAATACAATAATAATGAAAATAAAGAAATTTTTTATAAAAATTAAAATAAAAAATAGCCCATTTTAAAATAGTTAAAAACATATTTAAATCATTAATTTTTTTATTTTATAAAACAAAGATATTTTATTAATTCAAGAAGATGAGTTTACAAAATATACTCAAACTAACTACAAAACTATATATACTAGATCAACGAGATATTATTTTTGTAGAATTCCAATAGACGGTCTTCAACTGGATTCCTATTTTGGAGGAGGAGTTTATCCATGCAGCTCTAATTTCCAAAACTCTGAAGTTCTCTAACCCTTGTTTCCATATGCAAATTGTGATATGATTAAATACAGTTAAATTAAAAATTTAATTGCTCTTTTGATGTTTATAGTTGTATGAACTATACATTTTAATATCTATAATTAATTTTTTATTTTAATACATATTATATATTATTATCTTATTTCTTTTTATACTTATAAAAAAAGACTAAGAAAAACAAAAATAAGCTGAATAAGATTAAGGTTAATTACCTATATACTGTCAGTGTAAAGTTTTTTTACACTGACAACTAATTATATGTTTTAATTGTGTCATGTTATTTTTAAAAGTAAATATGTTTACAGTAACATGACACAATTAAAAGATATAATTGGTTGTCAGTAGTGTATAAGTGATTAACTCTAAGATTAAACATGGAACATTTTTATATAAATAAAACTAAAATAAAGTTTATAAAATTAAAAAGGTAACTAAATCTAAATTAAATTATCTAAAAACAAAACAGGGTGCCTTTATCATGTAACTCCAAAATCTGAACTCTCAATCACAACATAATTATGAATATATATATATATATATATATATAT